GTTTCTGTATGGGTTGGTGTATATTTGTATGGGGGTGGGTGTGTATTTGTGTGTATATGTATGTGTGGGTGTGTATGTGTATGTGTCTCTGTGTGGATGGGTATTTGTGTGTATGTGTGTGTCTCTGTGTGGGTGGGTGTGTCTTTGTGTGTATGTGTGTATGGATGTGAGTATACACGGTGCTGGGGCTGTACAAAATTATACTTATTGGGCTTATGTTCCTTTCCCACCTCTAATTCAATCTGTTTCATGGATGGACTCCTCAGTGGAGGTCTATTCAAACAACTGTGCCTTTATACTGGCTCCTAATGCTGACAGATTCCCTGCCCAACCTGAAGAGGAACGGATGAATTTTAATTTGTCTATTAGGTATAAATTTCCACCACTGTGCATAGGAAAAGCTTCTGAATGTTTAAAGTTTGATTATCAAAATTGAATGTGGACAGTGCCATTTGCAGGCAATGTCTCTTGTCACGTACATAATGTGTTTGGTAGTTACTCTTTCCAAGTACTTACCCGTGAGCCAAATTCACAAACTTATAAAACCAAGGGGCTACTAGACTGCCACATAAGGAGGCTGAAGGACCTTTTAGGTTTGACAGTATATTATGGGAAAATTGTAATGCTCTAAAACCTGTTTTCTTTTTCTCTTTTTATTTATTTATTTTTTTAAGATGGAGTTTCACCATGATGGCCAGGCTGGTCTTGAACTCCTGACCTCAGGTGATCCACCCATCTCAGCCTCCCAAAGTGCTAGGATTACAGGCGTGAGCCACCGCGCCCAGCTAAACCTGTTTCATTACACAACTCTAATACAGAGATTATTATTGATTGGGCCCCAAAAGGATATCATTGGGTAAATTGTTTTAATCAAAATACCCATTGTCATAAATATAAGTATTTGTTAAATTATGCGGAAGGAGAACGGTCATCTTACAGACAAAGAAAATGGGTTTCTCCTTACCCACTCGAATGGATGGAAAAGGGAATTGTTTCTCCCAGACAAAATGTGATTCGCCCTATTGTTACTCCGGAACATCCAGAACTGTGGAAATTGGCTGTGGCTATACCTGGAATTAGATTTTGAAATACAACCTATCAAAAAATTCTCCACAGAAGGACAGCTACTTACAAGGTTGTTCTCATTCCTGAGAAAGTGGTGCCCATAAGGACATGTGTTAAACCACCTTATATGTTCCTGGTTGAAAAAATAATGATCACTCCCAGCACTCAAACTATTGATTGTGACCAGTGTAAACTGTTTACTTGTATTGACAGTACCTTTGATGCTCAAAACAGCATTCTCCTTGTGAGAGCAAGAGAGGGGCTATGGATCCCAGCTTCATTACCACATCCGTGGGAAGCTTCCCCTTCTATTCGTATGGTCAATGAAGTTTTACAGGGGATACTTAAGAGAACTAAAAGATTTGTATTCACCTTAATTACTGTAATTATGGGATTGATTGCTGTCACTGCTTCAGCCACTACTGCTGGTGTTGCAATCCACAATTCTATTCAAACTTCTCACTATGTTGAAAATTGGCAAAAAGAATTCCACTAGACTGTGGAACTCTCAAGCCCAAACTGATCAAAAATTGGCTAATCAAATTAAGGATCTCTGCCAGAGCACGATCTGGTTGGGAGACAGAGTAATTAACCTTGAGCATTGCATGCAGTTACACTGACTGGAATACGTCTGACTACTGCGTCACATCTTGTGTTTATAATGAAACTCAACATCACTGGGAATCAGTCAGAAGACATTTAAAAGCATGGGATGGAAACTTGACTCTCGATATCTCTAAATTAAAAGAGCAAATCTTTGAAGCCTCCCAGGCGCATTTAAATACTGCACACGGATCAGGAGTATTTGACATAATCACCAGTAACTTATCCGGACTCAACCCTACAGAACGGACGAAGTCCTTTGGAGGTTCAGTAGTGTTTCTAGCAGTGTTAACTCTTTTCTTCTTCCTCCTCTTCTTTTTTTTTTTTTTTTTTCTAAAAAAAGATGGGGTTTCACCATGTTGGTCAGGCTGGTCTTGAACTCCCAACCTCAGGTGATCCCCCTACCTTGGCCTCCAAAGTGCTTGGATTACAGGTGTGAGCCACCATGCCCCGCCTAGCAGTGTTAACCCTTATCTGTCTGTGTTGTTTATTTCTAGTCTGCCGACCTGTATGAGGAATCCAAAGGGACACTAGAAGCCAACAACAAAAAATGATGGCTATGGCGATTCAACAAGAAAGGGGAAGATTTGGGGGGAACCCCGCAAGCGCTGGGGCAAGGGTCTCAAGCTCAGCCTGTTCCCATGTGAATATTGATTTAGAAAAAAATTAAAAATGTAGGCACATGGTTATTCCTTTATATAATCATATATACTCTAATAGTTACCTATAATCATAAAGATATATACTCAACATAACCTTTAATTTTACTAATGACTATCGGGTTATGAAGTATGGAACTGAGATGACACCGTGAACAAAGTGATTCTAAGGCAAGATGCTCTAAGCCCTCTGTGACCCCTGCATAAGGGCTGCTGGAGGGCACCTCAGCTGTGCGGCAGTGCCAGCGCTGGCAAAGTGCCCGCTGTTTAACCAGCTAGGGAAGGAGATGTCTAAAATGGCCGAGACATCTCCTTCCTGGGGAAGTTTGCAGAAAACTCTGCTCCTCCAAGCTCTGTGGCAAGGCCTGATGGCTGTCAGGGAGGCCCACAGACATCCGGGGGCTTAACTGTCTCTATGTGATGCTGGCTTCAGTGGTCACATTCCATGTCCACTCTCACACCCTGCTTCTGCCCCTGGTTTCTCTTTTTCTCAGAAGATAAGAATGAATGTCCTTGACATTCCTAACAAATATGCGAAGAGCGCTGACGCATAAGGTTTTCTCCTCTGAGAGAGAGAGCAGCACGACCCCCTCAGGGATGCTGTGGGACCCTGTGTCAGTCCCACAATCTTTGAGGAGTCAGGCTTCAAGGCCACCACTCCCCACTGTCCCTCACCCCAGGCCCATCCAGGGGGCCTCTGCTGGCCACTCAGTCCCGGGCTTCTCTCAGTGTTCTGGGAGCCTCAGGGAGCCTCTGTCCTCAGCAGAGTCATCTCTGTCCTACCCTTCATCTCCATTCACTGGGCTCCAGCACTGGGGCCTTTGCCCCAAGGAGCAGGGAAGGCTTTGGTTGTATCCCAGAAACAAGGACCAAACCTGGACGCATTGATTCTGCGAAGCTTTATTTATTGGTAGATTCAGATTCCGCATCCTGACTTAGTTACTCCAGTACCATCAGCCACCACAGCTCAGGGCTCTTGGAGTCTCTCAGGGCCTGTGGTGAGCTCGGCCTGGGTCCCAGGAACCCTGCCAGGCACCAGGTGCTGCCTGAGCCTGAAGAAGGCCCCAACTCCAGGTCACCCATGGTGGGAGTGGGCCCCATGGAGCTTCTGTAGACCCTTGACCCGCCACCCTCGGGTGGAAGTCGTCAGGCTGAGCTGGAGAAGGCTCTGAGCCAGCGTCTCCCCTACTCTGCCGTCCAGCACTGGTGCCAATGCTGACTGGAGACAGCCCAGAGGTGACCATGAAAAGCCTGTCACTGTGCCCAGTCCTGCTTGTGTAGGCTGCAGAGCCAAGACAACAAATACCATACATCGATGGGCATTTGGGTTGGTTCCAGGTCTTTGCTATTGTAAACAGTGCTGCAATGAACATATGTGTGCATGTGTCTTTATAACAGAACGATTTATAATCCTTTGGATATATACCCAGTAATGGGATTGCTGGGTCAAATGGAATTTCTATTTCTTGTTTTTTTGCAAATATAGTATGATTTGAATTTGTAATGATAACATGCTTAGAAAACAAAAGATGTTCTAAAGTTTTACCAGACTATAAGAGGTTTTTTATTTTTTATTTTATTGCACTTTATGTTCTGGGGTACATGTACAAAACATGCAGGATTGTTGCATAGGAACATACATGGCAATGTGGTTTGCTGCCTCCACCCCTCTGTCACCTATATGTGGCGTTTCTCTCCGTTATCCCTCCCAAACCTCCCTACCCCCAACTGCTCCTCCCCTATTCCCCTCAACAGACCCTAGTGTGTGATGCTCCCCTCCCTGTGTCCATGAGTTCTCACTATTCAACACCCGCCTATGAGTGAGAACATGCGGTGTTTGTTTTTCTGTTCTTGTGTCAGTTTGCTGAGAATGATGGTTTCCAGATTCATCTATGTCCCTAAAAAGAACATGAACTCATCGTTTTTGATGGCTGCATAGTATTCCATGGTGTATATGTGCCACATTTTCCTTGTCCAGTCTATCACCGATGGGCATTTGGGTTGGTTCCAGGTCTTTGCTATTGTAAATAGTACTACAATGAACATATGTGTGCATGTGTCTTTATAATAGAACAATTTATAATCCTTTGGATATATATCCAGTAATGGGATTGCTGGGTTAAATGGAATTTCTATTTCTAGGTCCTTGAGGAAGTGCCACACTGTCTTCCACAATGGTTGAACTAATTAACACTCCCACCAACAGTGTAAAAGTGTTCCTATTTCTCCACATCCTCTCCAGCATCTGTTGTCTCCAGATTTTTTAATGATCAGCATTCTAACAGGTGTGAGATGCTATCTCAGTGTGGTTTTGATTTGCATTTCTCTAATGACCAGTGATGATGAGCATTTTTTCATATGTTTGTTGGCCTCATATATGTCTTCTTTTGAAAAGTGTCTGTTCATGTCCTTCACCCACTTTTGAATGGGTTTGTTTGTTTGTTTTTTCTTCTAAATCTGTTTTAGTTCTTTGTAGATTCTGGATATCAGCCCTTTGTCAGATGGGTAGATTGCAAAAATTTTTTCCCATCCTGTTGGTTGCTGGTTCACTCTAATGACTGTTTCTTTTGCTGTGCAGAAGCTCTGGGGTTTGATCAGGTCCCATTTGTCTATTTTGCTTTTGTTGCCAATGCTTTTTGTGTTTTAGTCATGAAGTCCTTGCCTATGCCTATGTCTTGAATGGCGTTGCCTAGGTTTTCTTCTGGGGTTTTTATGGTGTGAGGCCTTATGTTTAAGTCTTTAATCCATCTGGACTTAATTTTAGTGTAAGGTGTCCCATGGTTTGAAATCCTCAGTGGAGATGCAGTGAGGAACGAGCTCAGGAATCCCAAGTCCCCCTCACCCCTTCATGAGGCTGTGATCCCCATGAGGACACAGGTCCCCTGACTCTCCCCTGCTCTTTGCCCCGATGCAAAAGGAGGGGCCTGCATCTCTGGAGTAGGTCTATGTTGAGAGAAAGAGGAGCAGGGGAGGGAGCCTGCAGGAGGCCTCTCTGGACCCCCATCATTTTCCACATGCAGGCCCACTGTGCCATAAGCCAGGGCTGAGTGCAGCAGGGCCCTGGGGACTGGGGACTTCTCCCAGGCATGGCAGGCAGCACTGGGGAGCATTGGGCCCTGTCTGGAGACAGTTTGGTTGTGACATGGGAGAGTATTCCAGGCCTCTGGTGGGTGGACACCAGGGATGCTGCCACATGTCCTGCGAGGCACAGGACAGCCCCCTACCCTCCTCTCTAACAAAGAATTATCTCACCAGAAACCTCAGCGCCAGTTCCCACCCAGATGAGGACCGACAGCCTGGAAGGACGGATCTGCAGGGTTGCCCTCCCTGGGCCCTCTGCTTCCTGTCCTGGCCGGGACTGCACCTTTGGTGTCCTTCTCTCCCATGGCCTGTGAGCCCCTGAACATGGGCTCATCCCCGCTACACCCAGAAGTGGCACAGAGGAGAGACACAGGCAGCCTCCAAGGGCCACACCTGGAGGCGTAGCGTCTGAGGTGCCTGTTACAGGGGACACAAAGGGCGGAGTGGTCCACTTGGGCTCCCTCAGGGCCTGAGGCGAGCTCCGCCTGGGTCCCAGGAATGCTGCCAGGCACCAGGCATTGCCTGAGCCTGAAGAAAGCCCCAATTGAAGGTCACCCATGGTGGGAGTGGGCCCCATGGAGCTTCTGTGGACCCTTTCCCCGCCAACCTTGAGTGGAAGCCGTCTGGCTGAGCTGGAGAAGGCTCTGAGACAGCGTCTCCCCACCTCTGCTGTCCAGTGCTGCTGCCAGTACTGACTGGAGACAGCCCAGAGGTAACCATGAAAAGCCTGTCACTGTGCCCAGCCCTGTTTGTGTAGGCTGCAGAGCCAAGACAGCAAATACCACACATCCGGGAGCCGTTCCCCAGTAAGAGCCCCACCACCAGCTCCTTCCTGTCCCCAGGTGTCCCTTCATTTCTCCTTTCTGGATGGGGACCAGAGGGCACAGGAGGGTATAAAGGCGACCTGGAGGGACCCAGGCACAAGGAGACGCCAGCGAAGACTCTCCTGGCCAGGTAAGGTGCTTGGCTCCATGGTGGGGCCCGGTGAGGTCATGCTGGCCCTTGCTTTGGAGTCAGGAGCCCTCTTGTCTTCCCCCAGATCCCTGGGATGCGCCAGCCAGAGGCCATGCTGCTGCTGCTGCTCACCCTCGCCCTCCTGGGGGGTCCCACCTGGGCAGGGAGTAAGTCGGTGGGGTCTGCGCCCAATCTCCCCTGCCTCCCTCCAGACTAACTCTGGTCACAGAACCACCCTGTTCTGGCTAGAGGGGCGGGTCCCCTCTTCTGGCAGAGGTCGCCCCCAAATTATGGCGTGGGGATTTTCTCCCCCTTGGTTTTCTCTTCCTTGCAGAGATGTATGGCCCTGGAGGAGGGAAGTATTTCAGCACCACGGAAGACTACAACCGTAAAATCACAGGGCTGCGGGTGTCTTCGGCTCTTATGGTGAAAAGGTGAGTAGGGCCGTGGTCATGGGCCCCACGCCATGTCCCAACCCGTCCCACAGTTTCAGGAACTCAGGGCAGGGGTTCCTGTAGGCACTTTTCCCACTTCCTGTCCGGCTCCTGCCGATGATTCCCAGCTTGAGCAGAGAAGATCAGATGACCATCCCCCCACCTTCTCCCTTCAACCCAAACTCAACTCAACCAAAAATGGCCTCTCCATCCCCAAGCCTGGTAGGAAGGTCAGGGGAAAGTCTGTTCACTTACTGTCAGAGAAGACAGGAGGTGAGGGTCAGAGTGGACCACCGACTGAACATGGGTCACACAAGTGTTAGAGGCAGAAATCCGGGCCATTTCCCTAACATCAGTGTCTCTGCTCAAGGTCTGGGATGGGTTTCTGCCTTGCACTTAGGAGTTCTGGGGTCCTGGAGGAGGGCATGGAGGGTGAAGCCCAAGAGCAGAGGAGACAGCGTGTGGGCAGGGCAAGCCGGAGAGCTGCGTCCTAGGAGGGCACCAGGGTGAGGGAGGGACGCAGATGAGCCCCCGGGGGAAGCGCTGCTAAGTGTGGGAAGTCACCTGCCCCTCGGCCGTTAAGCTGCTCTGCTCAGAGTGACTCAGGCTCCTTGGGTCTGGGCTCAGCCAGAGGCAGCTCCTGTGTGGGCCACCATGACAGCAGCCGGTGCCTTCTGGGATCACGGGGACACGGGCACTGCGCGGAGCTCTCTTCGTCACCACCTCGGTGACTCCTGCCAACAATCACAGCCACTTTGCAGATGGGGAAACTGTGCCCAGAGAGGCTGGGTAACCAGTTCAAGATTACAGAGCCGGAAAGTGGTAGAACCAGGGTTGGTGACCAGTGAGTCTGTGTCAGGGACCCAAATGCTGATGGTGCTGGTCTCTGCATCCCAGGAAGGAGGGTGGGGGCGCTGAGGACCTGGATGTGCTGGGCCATCCCAGATCTGGACATCCAAAGCTTTGCCTCTCTCCCAGTGTCCAGGTGAGACTTGGAGACTCCTGGGATGTTAAACAGGGCGCTTCAGGTGGGCAGACCCAGGAAGTCATCCTACAGCAAGATGAAGGCATCATAAAAGTCGTTGGCGCCTTCAAAGTTTTCCTCCAGGGTATGGCCTTGTGCACCAACAAAGGCCGCTGTTTCTATTTTGGGAATCTTGAGGGGAATGTCTTCCTTGCCTACCCCAGCAAAGAGGGGCAGGTGCTGGTGAGCATCTATGGCGAGTATGGACTCCTCGGCATCAAGAGCATTGGGTTTGAATGGAAGTAACCACTCTAGGAGCTGACCACTGAGTGACTCAAATGACCATCAAAGGCACCCATGGGTCACTAGGTTCAGTTATGTGGCCACCCAAGCTGAGGCCATCTGGGAGGTGGTGGCTGATGGTACTGGAGTAACTGAGTCAGGATGCTGAATCTGAATCCACCAATAAATAATGCTTCTGCAGAATCAATGCATCCAGGTTTGGTCCTTGGATCTGGGGTACAACCAAAGCCTTCCCTGCTCCTTGGGGACAAAGGCCCCAGTGCTGGAGTCCAGGGAACGGAGATGAAGGGTAGGGCAGAGGTGACTCTGCCGAGGACAGAAAGACAGCAGCACCACCCCCTCAGGGATGCTGTGGGACCCTGTGTCAGTCCCACAGTCTTTGAGGAGTCAGGCTTCAAGGCCACCACTCCCCACTGGCCCTCACCCCAGACCCATCCAGCAGGCCTCCGCTGGCCACTCAGTCCTGGGCTTCTCTGAGTGTTCAAGGAGCCTCAGGGAAGCCACCCACTCATCCATTCACTCAGCAGACATTTGCCAAGGCCTTGTCCTCACCAGCGTCCCCTGGCACTGGGGGTATAAAGAAAAGGCCCAGTTTCCAGCTGAGGGCAGATGCCTCGTGCGTGGTAGGGGATGGTGCAGAGGCAGATAGTGGCAGTTCACTTTGCCATCCGCATGGATGGGGACACATGCAGCTCATGGTGTGTAGGCACTTTCCCAGGGGTGAGGTGAGGGGGATGTGCTTCAGGGAAGTCTTCCTGGAGGTGGCAATGTCTGAGCTAAGTCTTAAAGGATGACGGAGAATTAGCCAAGAGGAGACAAGGGGAGGAGGGCATTACAGGTTGAGGGCTCAGCATGAGCAAAGGCACGAGATGCAGACAGCTGGGGACAGCAGGCCTCACACTGCGGTAATTTGTCACAGCAGAAACAGGAAATCAGTACAGGCCCTGGACCCAGCCCATTCTTCATGTCCCCTTCCCAAGTCTCCAAGCCCACATTGGCACTTGCCAAGATCAGAGCCCCAGGGGCCTCCAGGGACAGGGTTTTCAGCCCTTTGGGACCATGATCCACAGAGAGAAATTGATCCTACTTGAGACAAAAGAAACAACACATGTAATGGAACAGCCAAACACCCAGTGATCATCTAATGCAACAGCCAAACACCTAGTGATCATCTAATGCAACAGCCAAACACTCAGTGATCATCTACTGCAACATCCAAACACTCAGTGATTATCTAATGCAATAGCCAAACACTCAGTGATCATCTAACGCTACAGCCAAACATTCAGTGATCAGGGAAAGGGTCAGGTCCTGTTCCAGGGGTTCCACCCAAAGTCTCCACCCACAACAATGGAAGGACAGGACTTCAATTATCCTCGTTTGCAAAATGAAGAAACTGAGGCACTGAGGGCAAAGTGACTTGTCCTACACAGCAGTTAGAGGCAGAGTTGGAGGTTCGCCTTGAGGTGGCCAAGCTGCAAAGCCTAGCCCCTGAACCCCTATAGGGTCCAGCCCCATAGGGTTCTGTGAGCCCCTCCCTGCTGGTGCGGAGATAAGAACTGTAGAATAAAAGAGACAGAGAAAGAGAAAAGAGAGTTTTGGCTCGGGGGTCCACTGCCAACCAAATTGCGGAGACCTGCAGTGGTCCCGAGTGCCTGGACACTCTGACTTTTATGGAGTACAAAGCAGCAGGCAGGGAAGGTAGGGTGAAGTAATGGTGGTCAGTGATAGGGTCAGGTAAATCATGTGTCTTGGAGGGGGGGGGGCAGGACTTTCATGTAGCTGAGGTGAGGAGAAAACCTACTGCATCAGCGCTCTTTGCCTATTTGTCTGAAATATCAAGGACGTTAGTTCTTACCTTTTGAGAAAAAGAGGGGCCAGGTGCAGAAGCAGGGCGTGAGAGTGGACATGGAACGTGACCGCTGAAGCGCAGCATCACATAGAGACAGTTAAGCCCCCGGATGTCTGTGGCTCTCCCTGACAGCAGCCAGGCCTTGCCACAGAGCTTGGAGGAGCGGAGTTTTCTCCTAATTCCCCCAGGAAGGAGATGTCTCGGTCATTTTGGACATCTCCTTCCCTAGCTGGCTAAACAGTGGGGCTTTCCCAGCGCTGGCGCTGCCGCACAGCAGAGGCGCCCTCCAGTAGCCCTTATGCGGTCATGACAGAGGGCTTAGAGCATCTTGCCTTAGAATCACTTTGTTCACAATGTCACCTCAGTTCCATACTTCATAACCCGATTGTCATTAGTAAAATTAAAGGTTATACTGAGTATATATCTTTAGGATTATAAGTAACTATAAGATTATATACGATTGGCCGGGCGCGGTGGCTCAAGCCTGTAATCCCAGCACTTTGGGAGGCCGAGGCGGGTGGATCACGAGGTCAAGAGATCGAGACCATCCTGGTCAACATGGTGAAACCCCGTCTCTACTAAAAATACAAAAAAATTAGCTGGGCATGGTGGTGCGTGCCTGTAATCCCAGCTACTCAGGAGGCTGAGGCAGGAGAATTGCCTGAACCCAGGAGGCGGAGGTTGCGGTGAGCCGAGA